CCCTGTGATCCAACAAGCACTCCTCGATCACAACATGACCGCCCTACAACCGGATCAACAAACCCACTACAAGTCAGTTCATCTTCCGCATTTAGAAATACAAGTGTACCCACTTTTCACGGCGATCTACTCACTTGGGCTGAATTCATTATTAATTTCAAAGCCGCTGTCCACAACGACCCTCATATATCCGATATCCAAAAGTTCACATACCTCAGAAACTACGTAGATGGTGAAGCCAAACGATTGATCAACGGATTTCCAACCACCGCCGAGAACTACAAACTCGCATTCGACTTGTTTCACGATTGATATGGTCAACCCCCGAGGAATCATCAATGCACATATGAACGGTAACAAGGACTGGACATTAGCCACGCTAAGTAAATGCTTGCTTCAAGAAATACGTGTTCTCAATGTCGGACATGAAAACTAATCTCAACCCGGACACGTACCCCTCATCAGTCGCCGCCGCGTTCATGGAGGTATTACCTCCGTGCTGCGTTCAACATGGTGACGCAGGCCATTCAAAACAACCGCCATGAAATATCCGCGTTTCACGGTTCGACTCAACACAGCCCTTCAAACCCAACAGCGACAACCACCAACCATGGATCAAATTCACCGCCTCCCACAAATCAACACTACAGTAAATCTGCAACTCGATCAGCGAAATCAAGATTTATTCCACGACTCTGCAGCTACTGTAAAAGCCGGTATTCGTCGAACGATTGCCAAACCGTAAGTACACGTGAATCCCGCTTGGCTGGCGAAGATGTATCAGGAAGCGTACACATTTGTTGGAAGTGAAAAAAATATTCAATGTAATGACAAAAATTGTAAAATGCTGCGGAATTTCTTTAAAATTTGTAAATAAAAATATACTAGCAATTTTCTATTAATGGTTTATTCAAGTGGGCAAAATTTAATGTACAGAAAGATTGCCCGTAGAGTTATCCCTACACTGAAAAGTAAGCAACCGACAGCCTGTATAAAAGGGGGGCTGTGATTGGCTGTTACTTACGCGAGATTTGAACGGGACTTACATAGGCGTCGGATCAGATGTATGTAAGGCGGAATTAAAAAAAATCACAAGATCAAAATCGAAGTAAAATAATAAAATAAAAAGCATTAATAACAAAAGTAATAAAAAAATAAAATAAGTTTATAGCTAAAATAATTAAAGCCTGTACACTACATCAGATTTTAATCAGATTGGGAAAACACAAATATTTTGTCGGTTTCAGCTACAGTGATATTGATTGGGATGACATAATGGAAAAAGGACCTCAGTATTTTGTTGCAGGATATATGCAAGGATAAGAGGATGTGAACAAAACACTGCATGGTCACCACCACCGTTGTCGTGTATGGCTTCAAGTTGACACCTGGCCACAAACAAGACTTAATTTTTAACTGGAAAAAAAACTAATGAAAAAACATAAGAGAACAGCAATGGAAATAGTATTTGTTAATTTTTTTGGGATATCTAACCCCCAAATAATACTAACTATATGACAATTTGAGACGAAATGTGCATATACGAGGGTCGATACTCTCAGCATAACGGGGACAATGTCGCCATCTTGTAGACCTATGTCAGATTTGTTCATTTCATGGACATATCTTCAATTCTTTAATCATGATACTTGTATGGTTTCTAACAAGTTGATAACAATTGCAATTGCCATAGCAACAGTCACATAAACCGCCATGGCTTTGATGTAGAACATTGTGCTAACAATAACCATGGCAAATCACTAATATATATCACCTTATAGAACATTATCAACTTTGTTTTGAGGAAGACACTTTACAAAAACAGTAGATCGATTTAAACCATAAGGTCACTTTTTTTTAGTACTGGGGTAAATCATTAACAACTCTGAAGGGAAGAAATACTGTGTAAATTATTTTTCACTTTCATGCATTTTTTTGAGATGCATGTTAACTATCGCTAATCCAATTCAATACAAGTGGGTATAAGGCTGGATAGAAATAATGCTGCACCTCATAAGGTTTTAGTGAAAATCCACTAAATCAATGAAATACTGTGGTCAGTTTGGTCATTAAGTCTTTTATATATTTGTTAATTTGCATATGACAAGACATGTATAGGAGTAATTGCGGTTTAGTTTATCTATGTAGGTGTCTGTATTTATGGATTTTATAAGTTTTCAGTGGAAATCTGTTACTTAAACAATAATGAACGGACCCGCCAACCCATAATGAGCGAAAGCCTACTTTGTGCGACATATATGTACGAGGCGTGACCCAAGTACATATTTGGAGCATAAAGTGTACTTGAGTCCATTATGGGTTATCGGGGAGTTCATTATTGTTATTATTTTGTAGTGTTGTCAATACCAGTGGATTTGCTGTGTTATGAAGTTGAAGTTAAAATGACAATTTGCTAACAAGTTATCTAACTACGGAAAGGAAAACACATGTGTCCATTTATATAACTGCATCTGCTGTTCACCTGGTGAATAAAATAGAAAATGAAATCGAACTTACACTACACAGTTACAACCACCAGAAACTACTTCAGAGTTTTATTTATTAATAAGC